CCATGAGAGGCCATGTTTTCCTTTTGAATGAGAACTTGCTTCAAACGTAGATAGAAAACAATGGAGTTCTAAGAAACCTGAACAACTAAGGAACTCTATCATATCCTTTCTTATTCATGTTTACTTCCCTGTTTTAGCCGATCGCATGTGCTAGAAATCATGACATAAAGGAAAGAGAAAGATAGTGAGCCATTATTACCTTTCCTTTGAGTCCTTCCTTACCCATCTGTAAGTTCAAGGTAGAGAGTGTTAGTAGAATATAATGAATATTGAGAAGTGAAATAAAAATAGTTGAGTTTGTATACTGTAGCATTTCTACTCTTCCACAAAATATATATTCATGTATGGGCTACAAAATATGTAATTTTGATGATTCTACATGAGTTAAGTGCTTTTATATTTGTTTTTAAGACTGGCATGCACAACATAAAGATGAATGGTAAAATTCATGATAAGAATTTTAAATTTTATCTTTTCTCTATTTATAATGGCATTAAATTAAAAATTAATAAAACACCATAAATCAAGAGAAAGACTGTGGAAGAAAGGAAAAAGCTTTATATCTAATATTTCTGATAGTACATTGTTTTCTGCTTTTTGAATAAGGGGTTCTGCATTTTCATTATGTTCTAGGTCTGCAAATTATATAGCTGGCCCTGGTTGCTCCAGAGCTGCCTCTTCTTGAGAGGGGGTTTGGGAGGAATGGAAGGGGAGGTGAGGCACTGAGGAATCCCTCAAACCTCTTCTCTCCTGAGGTCCTGTGGACTCTATTGTTTTAATGAAGGTCTTTCTTGCCTTATTCTGAAATTAGTTTAATAGTAGTAGTTTCTATCAGTTTCCCAACCAAAGAGTGTTCTCAATATTCCTCGTTTCTGACTTTCTAAACACACACAAACTTAAGTCATCTTTGCTTTCATTACTTCCCATAGGGCAAGTTCAAGAGGCTGTATTCAATCATCTACCTTCAAAACCGTTTCCTTTTCATTCCATTTTTAATCTCATAATTTGAGGCCACTAAAAATATGCTGTACATATCCTGCAGAGTTTGATCCTCTCCTTTCCCCTTTTTGTTTGTGTTCCAATTTCTTTCTCATTTATTCTTAGGTGCAAAGAACTGCAGTCAGGACCTAGGCCTTTGTAGATGCCTTGTTGGTTTCTAAGGAAGAAAAAAAATGAGTCACGTTGCTAAAGCTCTTTAAAGTTCTCCTAAGAGATCATAACCAACTGACTAAGATGTCAGTAACGTTTTAACCCTGGCTTCAATTCTAGTTGCCTTTCATAACCTTAAAGTAAATTTTTTGATCTTAGCATAGGCTCAGTCTTGCCTTTTCAGTTGCTTTGTTTTTTGTTTGTTTGTTTGTTTGTTTTTGCGGTACGCGGGCCTCTCATTGTTGTGGCCTCTCGCGCTGCGGAGCACAGGCTCCAGACGCGCAGTCTCAGCGGCCATGGCTCACGGGCCCAGCCGCTCCGCGGCACGTGGGATCCTCCCGGACTGGGGCACGAGCCAGCGTCCTCTGCATCGGCAGACGGACCCCCAACCACTGTGCCACCAGGGAAGCCCTTTTCAGTTGCTTTGATCCCAAACCTCACACTAATTCCTAGAGTGTTAGTATCAGAAAGTGCTAAGAACTAAATCGTCTTCTGATTTCTCTTATCCATATCCTAACAGAAACTTTAAAATCTCAGAACAGTCTTCATACCTGGCCCGTACAGATGTACCCTGCCCCATTTCTGCCTTACTGTCAACATTCCAGAAGTACCGTTATGATAGTTTTTCAAATGTGCCTAGCGTGTCAGGTCCCCTTACTTTCCTCATATTAGTCCTTCTATTTAGAATCTCCTTCCCTATCTTCTTCACCTAGATAATTACTTTTCAAGCCCTGAGTGTCATCTCAGGCATTACCTCCTTTAGAAGAATTTCCTGTCCCTTAGTGAGGTGAATTTGGGCCCCAGTTAAGGCCCATGCTAACCTGGGTATCACTCCACTCGGCACATGCTATATTACACCAAAATCATCTGTTTATATGATGGCTTTTGGACCCCACTGTGATGTCCTTGAGGGCAGAGATTTATCTTTTTATTTTCTAAAAGTTATAGAGTCCTGGGCACACAGCAGGTATTTAGCACATATTTTTTGCCTGAATTAAAATGAACCGATGAATCACTACGTTGTATACCAGGAACTAACACAGTGTTGAAGATCAGTTATATTTCAAAAACAAACAGACCAACTCATTTAAAAGCATATCAGATTTGTGGTAACCAGAGGCAGGGGATAGGGGTAGGAAGAATTGGATGAAGGTAGTCAAAAGTTAAAAACTTCCAGTTATGGGCTTCCCTGGTGGCGCAGTGGTTGAGAGTCCGCCTGCCGATGCAGGGGACACGGGATCATGCCCCAGTCCGGGAAGATCCCACATGCCGCGGTGCGGCTGGGCCCGTGAGCCATGGCCGCTGAGCCTGCGCGTCCGGAGCCTGTGCTCCGCAACAGGAGAGCCTGCAACACTGAGAGGCCCACGTACAGCAAAAAAACACAAAAAAACCTTCCAGTATAAGATAAATAAGTACTAGGAATGTAATGTATGGCATGATAAATCTAATGAACACTGCTGTATGTTCTATATGAAAGTTGTTGAGAGAGTAAATCCTACCAGTTCTCATTACAAGGAAAAATATATTTTTCTATTTCTTTAATTTTGTGTCTATATGAGACGATGGATGTTCACTAAACTTATTATGGTTATCATTTCATGATGTATGTAGGCAAAATTATTATGCTGTACACCTTAACTTATATAGTGCTGTATGTCAATTGTGTCTCAAAAAACTTGAAGAAATAAATAAATAAAATAAACTGAATTACATGTGCTCTAATCTACCATGTGATATCTCTTCTGGATATTATTTATGTGGTCCTAACCCAAAGAACACTGATATACGTATAGAAATTATATGCACCAGCATTATTCTCCTAGGATTTTTAAAGCTATAAAATCTTAAAATTAGGAAGAATCCCAGAATATCCTACTCAATGCAGGAATCCCTTTTACAAAGTTTTGATCACTAGTTATCCATTTTTTTAAATTTAATTTTATTTATCTTTTTATACAGCAGGTCCTTATTAGTCATCAATTTTATACACATCAGTGTAGTCATCCATTTTATTTTGTCATTTAATTTTATTTTATTCTTTTAACCAGGGTTGAGGGAAAAGGATGATTGAGGAAGTGATAGTCTCATGTGTGCTTTCTATCCAAAGACAACTGGTAGTATGAATTCTCTTTTCCAGAAGCCTACTGCAATCAGGAATGAACTCTTCAAGTCAGATGTAGGGGAAAGGTCACCAGAAACTTTTGCTATACCTAGATTCGGGCAAATCCTTTCCCAAGAATATCCCAGAGAATACTCCACAAAATTTCCAGGTATTCAAGAGTTTTGGGGACTTCCCTGGTGGTGCAGTGGTTAAGAATCCACCTGCCAATGCAAGGGACGTGGGTTTGACCCCTAGTCCGGGAAGATCCCACATGCCATGGAGCAACTAAGCCCATGCACCACAACTACTGAGCCCGTGTGCTACAACTACTGAAGTTCGTGCACCTAGAGCCCACACTCCACAGCAACAGAAGCCACCACAATGAGAAGCCTGCACGCCACAACGAAGAGTAGCCCCGTTTGCTGCAACTAGAGAAAACCGTCGCGCAGCAACGAAGACCCAGCGCAGCCAAAAAGAAATAAATAAATAAATTTATGAAAAAAAATGAATTCTGTTGTTAGCTCAGCTAAAGATCAGCCATTTAGAGAGCAGTTTTGGGTCCTCCTCATGGGGTTTAGCTAGAAATTTGATTTCTTGGGACTCTTTCGATTCTTTCCTTCTTGGGAAAGTTAACTGCCTGGGTTTTCATTTTCTTGTGTCCTGCGCCACTTACAAAATTGACGTCTGTTCTTTTCAGACTAGAATAAGTACACTGGATTCCAAGAAATAACTTACAGGTTTTTCAAGTTTTCCAGTATCAGTATCTCCTTGTATATCTGTCACATCTACCTTCACATAAACGCATAGACATATGTAGGACTTTAGCCCTCTGGTGGTGATGAAAGCCAGGCTTGATGGTCAGATTGAAGACTGATCACCTGTCCACATGTCTAGGGGACCCAATCTGATGAACAGGGCCTGGGCCAGGAACCCCACACATGAGTTTTCCTTCATTACTGCTTTCCAGTTCTTTATGAGATTTAAGCGTCTCTGACCCTGTTCTGTCTCTCTGCCGATTCCCACTATCGCTGAAATAGGCAATGCCTGCCTAACTTCTCCAGCTTATTTTGAGAGTCAAGGGAAAAAAAAATATATGCAGAGTTAAGTGCCATGGAAGAGGGAAAGTATCATGTCCACTCTTCTATCCATATTGAAAGTTAATTGTTTAGCTTACTTTGCATTATAAGTTGGTTAGTCTAGGTGGAGTGGAGCAGAGAAGGAAGGGCAGTGATATATGGGAGGAGGTGTCTAGAAGGAAGGAAAAATGGACTACATAGCGTTGGCTTATTTCTCCATGTATTGATTTAGACCTCTTTATTAATCCAGAATGTTTTTCTCTGAAAAGAAGATGAATTGTTAATAACTCAGGACAATAGGATGGAGAAACTTCTTACCTATGATTTGACACTGTGGATTACTTCCTCTCCCCCATTTTTGTCTTTTGAGAGCCAGAATCATCCCACAATGAATAATGGAGAACAACATGCTACTGGGCAGGTCCTCTGAGTGTCCATAGCACTCAGACCATAGTTAAGTACCACTATTTGTGGCCTGTGGCATCGTGCTCACTGCAATAGCTAAAGCAACAAATACTTCCTGCTCCAAAAGTCACCAAGCATACATGTGCTGCCCAAGAGTCATCCGGGCAGCTTTATGTTCCTCCCCTGACAGAGCTAGTGCTTCATCAGTGAGCCAGGATGGCGGAGGCTTTGACTGTTTTTCTAAATTTTATTTTTAATGTTCCTTCTAGGCTCCAGACTCACTGGAGACATCCTGACACAGTATGCTTTGCCTAGCACAATGTGATGCCCTTTACCTAGTAAGAGTGAGTCTCATAAAGGTGCTGCCTTCCCCCGCAGAACAAACAGCGGAAATGCATCAGGAGAGCTCAGCTGCAGACAGAATGCACATCGTGAAGCAGGAGCCACCACGGGATTGCTTAGATGAAAGCCGATTTCAATGAACATTGTGTTTCAAAGCCTGCTTCCTCTTGCGCCGTAAGAGCTGCAGAAGGAACATCCCACTTGCGTCTGCTGACACAAAAGAATGCTGTGGTTGGGAGATCTTATCAAGCCTTCCTGTGCCACAGTAACAGAGCTCCACTTGTGTCTTGTAAGAATTGCTCATTGTTTCATGGGGACGACTGGCTCCTTTGGGTGGGATCTGACGGCATCTCATGGAATGGAGGTAGGTGGTGTTGGGAGATCAGCCAGCCACATGACCCAGCTTGCTGGCTTTGGGGAAGTCAGAGAGAGGAACAGACTTCACCCAGGTCTGTTGAATAGCTAAGCATTTAAGGTTAAACGATTAAAATAGGCATTTTTGTTTACTACTATCTTCAACTGTGTATGTTAAGAACAAAAAATAAAAATGATGGTCAGAGTTTCTCTGTTGGTATAAGCTGTTTCTTCTCTTTTAATCAACTCACCTAAAGCTGTCTCATTCTGATAAAATTGAAAAGAATAAAGGAGAATTTTTTTGAAAACAGAAATGTACTGATTTAAAGCCATCTCTGGAAAAGTTAGATGCTAATAAGTACATACATTAGCATTTATCACATAAACCTCAAAAACATATATGTTTTACAAGGATGAACCTAGGGTTTAAAATTATTGACTTTATATTTAAAAGTGTAAGTTAATAATATTGGATTAATTAAATTTGGCCAATTCTAGATGATGTATCCTTTGCTTAGAAAGTTTGTGGCTTCCCAGTTTAGGCCTCTTCTAATAGCGAAAATTGATGATTACCTGTTTAGCTATATGGAGAGTAGAATTAGAATTTTTTTCTCTTTTCTCTTCCTTTCTAAAGGTTTGCTGAGTAATTAGTACATATAAGAAATATATAACTAGATATGATATGATATGGTATGATATGCCAAGGAAAAAGGGTGACCATGAGTTTCCTAAAGGGACAATGCTTGAGATTAACATTTTTAATCTCTCCCCCCTGTATCCCCATGTAGTACTTTCTGAAGTGCCCTTTGCCCTAAATGTACTCATATTCAGTTATTTCAATAACAAAAATTATCTTCCTCTTACTCTGTATAAGGTCCTAAAATCAAAATATTACCAAAACACCATCTTTGTTCTTAATGCATTTATTAAAATTATCAAATGTTGTAATTTGTTTTCTCTTAGTGAACTGTGAGCCTCTTGAAGAAAGACATTGGGTCACATTCATCTTCTTGTCTCCACTGCTGAGCACAATGTCTTGTTCATATTGGTGTTGACTAAATATTTACTGAATGGATGAATAGATGGATGGATGGATGGATGGATGAATGGATGGACGGGTGAATGGCTGGCTCTGCTGTAGTGCCTACAGTTACACAGGGGGAATTGATTCAGGTTGTCTACATGGTTCTTGGCATGACAACACCTGTTCCTTCTCTAGGCCTTTATTATCCCACTCTTAGATGCATAGACTGAAGAGATTCTCAAGATCCCATAATCCAGCTCCTTCAGTTTACAGTTGAGGAAATGAGACTCAGAAACAGAATCTGATTTATTCACAGTCCCACAGCTGACAGGTGCCAGATCCGGGTTAAACCCAGTTCTCCTGCTTCTGGTCAAATGTCCACTGCGTTATGTTGCTTTCCATGACTCATAGTTGGAGGCTTTAAGGGACCCTTTGTGGCTGCTGAATTCATGTGCTGATGGTGCTGAAGCAAGGTAAGAACAAGAACGACTCATCTCTATTCAGGCTGACATCTATTCAGGCCACACTCAAACTTCAGTGGGTGGTGTCTGGTCCCTCCCTAGTCTCCTAGATAACCTTTGGAGATGGCGCAGTCCAGCCCTATTCCACTGGTCAAGATTTCTCTTTTACACAGAGTCCAGCCTTTCAAAGCCCTTTCCAAAGAAGCTCGTGCTCCTGCCATCTCTAGGTCCTCCTGCCATCAGGAAGTGCTCCCAGTGTATCACCTCTGATTGCCTGGACTCCTGTTTCTCTGAATTATGCCTAGTCACGCTGCATCTAAATGCTTGCGTTTGACCTATATTTAAATAAAATGTTGTTCATTAAGAATTTAACCTTTTATTTTTTAATAACCTATAAGGGAAAAGAATCTGAAAAAGAATAGGTAGATAGATAGATGTCTAACTGAAATACTTTGCTGTACACTTGAAATTAACACATTATAAGCCAATTATACTTAGATTTTAAAAAAAAGAGAATTTAACCTTTTAGATTCAACTATTTTAGAACAAACACATAACAACAGAGATGAATCTCAAAATAATTATGCTGAGTGAAATAAGAGAGACAAAAAAGACCATGTACTGTATGATTCCATGTATATAAAGCTCTAGAGGGAATTCCTTGGCAGTCCAGTGGTTAGGACTTGGCACTTTCACTGCCAGGGCCTGGGTTCAAAACCTGGTTGGGGAACTAAGATCCCACAAGCCGCGTGGTATGACCAAAAACAAAAAACAAAAAAAGAACTAAAAAATAAAATAAAACTCTAGGAAATGCAAACTAATCTAGAATAGGAGAAAGCACACCAGCGGTTGCCTGGAGAGGTGGGGAGGGAGAAGCAGTGAGGGGTGGGGGGAGGTTAGAAAGAGGACGAAGTAGATTTTTGAGGCTGATGAGTATTTTCACTCTCTTGATTATAATGATGGTTTCATGGGTGTATGCAAGTGTCAAAACTTATCAAATTGTACAATTTAAATATATGTATTTTATTGTATGTCAATTATCTCTTTAAAAAATTGAGTTTTTTTGTTTTGTTTTTTAAAGAATGTAACCTTTTAAAATTCCACCAAAATACTGTGTTAGTCAGGGTTCAATTACAGAAGCAGAAAAATAAGGAATACTTATATAATATAGTTACAGGTATTTGACCCCATATAATTGTTGTATGTGGTTAATTCATGTCTGTAAGGTTGTTGTGTTCACATCTGATGTTGGAGCTTGAAGTCCAAGGAAGAAGGTGTCAGGAAAAGAAGGTGTATGTAAAATGGGGAAGAGCCTATTTTAGAACAAGTTGGAATCCAGAGGCACAAGCTGTAGCTCAAAGGGAGAGATTGAAACTTGTATCAGTTCTTAATGCCTCTGACCTTGATTGCATGGATGTCCTGCAAAAGCAGGGCCCTTCATCACAGAGCTAAACACACACACCAGGCCCAGGAATTGGAGGAGCTGCAGGAGGATCCAGGGAAGGCAGAGCAGTGACAGGCCCAGCTACTGTCTCTTGCAGGAGGTGAGACGGCAGAGAAAAGGCAACTTGTACGAGCTATGGAATGGCTGTAACCTCACACACCCCCTCCAAATTTTTCACAAGAATGTCCCTCTGCCCACTCTAACCAGAAATATACAGGAGAGAGATTCTGGGAAATATAGTTCAGCCTCCTCAAGTTCACTCATTACAAAGTTAGTTCTTGACAACTTGGCACTTGAACACATTTCTTTACATCATACTTACTCTCCAAATAAAGATAATAACACAGCCATGTCTCTACCTAACATGATGCATCTATCCCAAGTACAACCCAAACACATTAACCTTTCCCCAGAAGAGGATCCAAAAATTTTTTTTTGACTTTGGGTGATGTTTGATTTTAGTGTGCCCCTTGCTAATTCACATTTCCCCTCTGCTATCCTATAATTTATATATTGAGATATTAAGTCTACTACTATTAACACATCTTATGTTAGATAAGGGCATGAGAAAGAGGATAAATGCAAAAATAATTGGGTAAATAATATTTATATGAATATATGTATATAAACTATATATAATTATACATACATATACATGGTCATATCATAATAAGGAAGAAATACTAATAACTATTCCAGTACTTATATCTGCAACTGGTTGTGTGATCATAGCTAGTATTTATAACTACTTCCTTCCACCCATTCCATATTCCCTTCATCTTCAGCAAACACTTCAGCTAGTTGTGCATCTTTGCCTGGTGGGGTGAACCAAGTTTTCAGTCCTGAAGGGTCTGGGTCATTAGGAGTCCTGTTAATTGAGTTGATGTAGCTTAATCACAGAGTATGGGAATACTGAGAGGCAACCTAGAGGATCTTTAACATTGGAGACACTCCCCTTTACCTCTTTGTGTAGAAGCAGCGCAGGTTCTGTCACTCCCTTCTGTGCCTGTTCATTCAATGGCATGAGTCAAGGGGCACTCCAGTTCAACAGAGTCATCACTGAGCCCTGGTGGAAGCACTCCTTCCTTTGGAACTCTAGACAAGCATATCCTAACATCATAGGGACTGGAAGCAGCAGTTTAGTGGATCACCAGGGACAATAGTGAAAGGAGCCTTTCTCATCATCACCCCTTGTTCCCAGGCCCATGAAAACTGGCTGTGGGAGAAACAAAAATAAATATAGGATGATGATTTAGAGCATATTTGCATCCTGGATAGCTGACCATAACTGAGTCTTCAAAAGGCCATTCCATCATTCTATCAAGCCAGCTGCTTCAGGGTGATGGGGAACATGGTAAGACCAGTGAGCTGCATGAGGCAATTGCTGTACCTCATTTGCTGTGAAATAAGTTTCTTGGTCAGAAGTGATACTTTGTGAAATACCATGGTAGTGAATAAGTCATTCTGTATATGGTTTTGGTGGTGGTTTGGGCGAAAGCATTGTGAGCAGGGAGGACAAATCTGTATCTAGCGTAAGTGCCTATTCCAGTAAGAACAAAGCACCACCCCTTCTATGAGGGAAGATCTGATCTAATGTAATCAATCTGCCAACAGGTTGGCTAGTTAGTAGCTGGGAATGGTGCCATGAGAGGGGCTCACTGCTGACCTCTGCTATTAGCAGATTGGGCTCTCTGCAGCAGTCATAGTCAGGTGGTCCCTGGCAAGTAGACATCTACGTTGCTGTGTCCTTGCAAAACTTTCATCTCTGCCACCATGGTCACTTTACTCATGAGCCATTTGGGCAGTGACAACAGTTGCTGGAGAAAGAGGCTGACTGATGTCCACAGAATGGCTCATCTTCTCCATCTGATTTTTAAAATATTTCTCTGTTGAGTTCACCCTTTGCTGAGCATTCACATAGAACACAAATATCTTCACAGACCAGCCTGTTTGGAGAGATCTGTCAACCTATGTTTCCTCCAGATCTCTCTGACACCAATTTTTCAATCACATTTCTTCCAATTCTTTTGACCTTCCAGCCAAGTATTAGCCATGGCCCATAAATTAGTGTAGACTTGTACTTCTGGACATCTCTCCTTCCAAGCAAAATGGACAACCAGGGGCAGTGCTCAAAATTCTGGCACTGGGAGGATTTCCCTTTACCACTGTCCTTCAGTGGTAAAGGGAAATCCTTCAGGGACCATTGTCCCTACCATTAGACAGCTCAGGTCACACAGTACCTTAGTGACCCATGGCCAAGCATTCAATTTCTACTAAGACTCAGTAGCAAAATGTAACCTATTTCTTAAAAGAAGAATAGTTATCCACAGAGGAGGGCTTTATTCTAAAATCCTAAGGATTTGCACTGTGATCCACCTATAGGAATCTGAAAGAGGCTCTAAATAGCATCCCTATCTGGCAGTGACATTTCAAGCACCATTGGATCTTCTGGATTAGATAGTCCGAGTGTAACTGATCAGGACCCTATGGGGCCTTCCTGGGACAGACCCGTCCTCTGCTGTAGCTCCTCCCTGAAGTACCTAGATAATAGTATGTGAGGCACACTTCCTGAGTCGTTTTACAGATGCTAAAACCACCACCAAATGGAAGAAATTAACTACTTGATGATCATAAACCCCTAGACCTCCTGGGGCCTAAGGATTGATAACGTTAACCCCTGCGACACTGCCCTGTTACCTCAACATCAACCAATCAGAGAATTGTGCACAAACTGATCATAGATGCTGCGACTGCCCCCCGCCCTCACCTGGCCTTTAAAAATGTTTTGCTGAAACCCTTCAGGGAGTTCAGGGTTTTGGGAAGCATGAGCCATCTCGCCTCTTTGCATGGCCCTGCAATAAACCTTTCTTTGCTCCAAACTCCAACGTTCATTTGGCCTCACTGTGTCTTGGGCACATGAATTTGCATTTGGTAACAACCAGTGGCGGTCTGGGCTTCTTATAGAGCTTGCTTTTGTTCTGGGCCCCTGCTCACACCCATAGCTTTTGGGGTCACTCAGTAAAGGGGTCAGAAAGGGTACCTTAACATGCCACAGACTGGACACCTAGACATTTCACTGGGGTTGCAGGTCCCTGATTTTTCATGGGATTTATTCCCTACCCTCTGGCAAGCAAATGTCTTATTACTGTGTGGAGAGCAGTTGCTCCTTTCTGGTCACCTGGTGCAGGAATCAGAGAAGCTGAAGGAGGATCCAGGGATGATGAGATAGTTGTAAGGCTGGCCACAGCCTCACACCGATGAGATGAACCAGCAGGTAAGCAACAGTGTGGATGAGCGAGAATAGGGCTGCTGCTTCCCTTCCTGCCTCTGCATCTCCCACAGCAGCTTTCTTATAGCCCACCTGCACTTGAAACATACAGGAACAGAAATTGGGGAAATGTAGTTCATCCTCGCCAAGTTGACACATTACAAAGCTACCAGAAATACAATTTATAGTAGATTATTATAGGGTGGAGAATCTAAATAAAAAAAAAATAGTAGATGCCTATCCTGGCATGATCTTCTTTCCTGAGGAATTCATACGACAGAAATAATTTCTCTTACCTACAAGGCCTTGATTCCACAGACTATATGTACGTGATCTGACCCTGGGGAGATTTTCAAAAGAGAGCTTTTTCCAGAAACATATATTATTTTTTAATAAGTAAATGCTTAACAGTGTGAAAATATATTCACAGTTTGAGTGTATTTATCAACTGCTTTTCCAGAGAGACTGAAATTTGTTGAGGTTTAAGGGTGGTTTGGGTTTTTTTTAATGTTTAGTCTTCAAAAAATAAGAATTTGCTTTTAAGTTAAAAAGTGTGCTGCAGGCCAATGGCAGTGCGATGGGCTTTTGCCTTGTAATGAAAAGAAAGCCTCAGAATTTGCTCACCAGGCTGCCTGGCATGCAGCTCATCCTGGTGCTGGTGAAAGACCAGTGTCATTTCAGAACGGATTGCTTGTGCATCTTGACGTGTAGAATCTTTTTCTATTGTTTCTGAAGTCTATTGTCTAAGAGAGAGCTGACACCAACTTTTGTTTCTTACTATATGAATCTACAACTTTCCCTTAGAAAGTGGTAAGATGTTTACAAGGAAGGCATGTGTATGTCAGAGAGTGCCAGCAAGACAGGCTTTGCAGAGACTTAAAGGGCAGAATTCTCAACAGAGAGCAACAAAAGAAAGAGAAAGTCCAAATGAGACCAAGGGGAAGACGGTTTTCAAATCGACCTTTCCTTATCACAAGCCAATTCATGACTTCCTGACGAAGACATTTGTCCACCCAACTGTGCGGGTGTTTCTGAATATTCCCATCACACAATAACAATTGTCAACACCTGTCTCAGACACAGGAATTGGGAAAAACCACAAGTGGAAAAGAGACACAAGTGCACAACCAATGTGACCATTTTAGTGACGAAATCGGTCACCTCAGTTAATTTGCTGAATTGAAGGATTAAAAGAAAAGGGCATATGGTGCCTTTGACATAGTATTGGCTGAATAACCATTTAAAAATATAATCGAAAAAAAAAAAAAAATATATAATCGGATGGTTGACTAAGTAAGAAAAGAGTCATATCTGCTCTTCATACAGACATTTGGCAAATGTTTGACCCTATTCCCCAAAGAGCTCTGATTTCTTTTTTCCCCACCATTTTGGTCCTTGAAGCTTTAAAATCTCAAAATTAATCCTTAGGATTAGAGCGTGTTAGGATCACAAGAGAGACTCTGAACCACTGAACAAAGGAGGGAGGGACATAGAACAGAATGATGGAAATTTTCCACCCATGAACTGGACACACCCTCATGCAAACAAGGCTCTTAGGCTAAGGCTATATTTTATAAAAATGTGATAAAACACTTGATAAGCCCAGAGAGGATAAGCAGTAGTTTTGTTTGTTTTTTAATCCTCCAAAATCCAGTACCACAAGCTGAGCAGTTGGAGGGAAAAGCCTTTTGTCATCTCTGTTTCCACGTGTCTATTTCCTTTCTGGAGCCCCAGCAGTTTGAGGGGCTGTCAAAGGCGAGAGGTCAGTGTGTCAGCAGCTCTGATCCTGCATTCGCCCTGGTGCTCACTGCATCTGTCTCTGCCCCTGGCTGGCTGGCTCTGACAGGAGGCACTGGGCTGGGAGGTCGCAGGAGGATCTGTCAGGCTCATTTCTCTCCAGCTCTGCAGTTGGCTCTGCGTCCCTCAGGAGAGGGCAGAGAGGCAGATGCAAGCCCCTTGGGAGCTTTCACCCTTTGCAGGCATCTCCCAGTGCTCTGGAAAGGGCGCCAAGTGACCCAGTCCCCTGAGAACACTTCTCAGTCCTGAATACATTGCTTCCCTTCTCCCAACACCTCTTTGAACCACTATTTTTATAACCACAATGCTAAAATAAAATTGCTTATGCTCTGTAGCTTAATAGTAAACACGCACATGATGTCAAAGGTGGTTTTAAAACCCTGGCTATGGGATAACTGCCTTCTTCTTAAAAAGGAGGTGATCTGTCTTCTCCATTTTCTTTGGCATTTGACTTTCAACTGCCAGGCCCATGAACAGCCTGCAGCTTCCTTGTGGTTGGCTACATATTATATGTTACTTGGGTGCTTTGCAGCTTTCAAAGAGCTTTTACACAAAAGTGATCTCATTGGGTCCTCAGATAACCCGATGGTGGGTAGGGTTGGTGGATATTCTATCACCATTTCTCACAGGTGGAAAGAAAAGTAAATAAGTTATGTAACTCGACCAAGGTCACTCTGCACTTCAGTGGTGGAAATAGATTCCAACAGAGGCATCTCTCTGGAAGTTTTCTTTCTTTTCTTTTCTTTCTTTCTTTCTTTCTTTCTTTCTTTCTTTCTTTCTTTCTTTCTTTCTTTCTTTCTTTCTTTCTTTCTTTCTCTCTCTCTCTCTCTCCCCCCCTTTCTTTCTTTCTTTCTTTTTCTTTCTTTCTTTTTTTCTTTCTTTCTTTCTTTCTTAAATCTATTTCATCACACCAAGCCACCTCTGTGAAGGCAAGGTGCATACATCTTCCTAATTCAACAATCGGGTTAAATAGCTACAAAATTATAGCCACAGTAGCTAAGCTCATTAGGTGACAACTTTTTCCTTATTTCCATATTCTTTTGTCCCTACCACCATCATCATTTTCCTCCCTACCCAGCATCCTCTATTTAACACTCATAAAAGTAATATCATCTTCTTCTACTCTCTCCTCTCTTCTTTTCTCTCTCCCTTTCTTTTTCTCCCTATGTCTCTCTATCTCCTTTTTCTATCTCCATTTCACTCCCCCCACACACACTTTTGTCTTTTTTGTTTTTGGTCATTGATTGAGTACTGAAAGTAACACATGACTGGGGTGTAAGAGAACTAAGTTCGAGATATTACAATTTCACATAACCTCTCTGGATCTCTGTTGCTTTATTTGCAAAATTGTTTCTCCTAAAATAATGATTTTTCTACAGGAGTGAAGAACAGAAAAGGAAAAATGTGACTTTTGTGCTCATCAAAAAAAAAGTTAACAGTTAAAAAAAATGTGAGAGCTACTTTGTAGCTTTTCTTATTTTAAGCTACAGATGAAGTGATCAAACCCACATCTTCTGTCTATAAGTCAAATATATAGTGATTTTATTTTATAGAGATTTTCACTAGCCTCACCAATAAGCCCTTTTCTTAAAAAAATTTTTATTTATTTTTTGGCTGTGTTGGGTCTTCGTTGCTGCACGTGGGCTTTCTGACTTTCTCTAGTTGCGGTGAGCAGGGGCTACTCTTCCGGGGACTACTGTTCGTTGCGATGTGAGGGCTTCTCATTGGGTGGCTTCTCTTGTTGTAGACCATGGGCTCTAGGCACCCAGGCTTCAGTAGTTGTGGCGCGCAGGCTCAGAAGTTGTGGCGCACGGGCTTAGTCGCTCCACGGCATGTGGGATCTTCCCAGGCCAGGGATTGAACCTGTGTCCCCTGCATTGGCAGGCAGATTCTTAACCACTGTGCCACCAGGGAAGTCCCAGCCATTTTTAATATGAAACGCCAGGACAGATTATCCAAAATTTAGGAAAGAAAGAAGTGAGAATTGCCTCTTCACTATTATTAATACCTGATAATTTCTCACATTGATGGTGCTTTTTAAACACAAATTAACAGTCAACAAAACAACTCGGGAAGAAGAATGAGATGGTCATTTTAGTGTTCTATTTTTCTGGTTTTCTTTGTTAAGTGAAGTGATGGCAGGTGATGGGGGTGATTAAGTACAGACTAGAAATGAGCTACATTTAGACACTGTCTACAATGGTTTTTCCTAGGATGAAGCCCTTATTTAACTTTAAATCCATGGTTCTATAGACTTGTGTTCTCTGAATGCAGCTGTGTAATTAGTAATCATCATTAATCATTTCTACTTCTGTACTTCTATCACCAACAAAATTATAGCAACCTATATTTTTAGTAAACTCTAACTGCAAGTTTAATTTGTTATTTATTTATTACTTTAAGAAGCAGTTTGCTGAACTGATTACACAAATCTAAAATAATGTATCTGAAGATAGAAATAAAACTTCCCATCAGGAATAAATAGGATTTTCAAAAGAAGAGTATCTGCCTCTTGGCAAAAGGAAAAAAGAAAAAAAACCCCAGAAAATTAGGCTTCCAGGCTTTTTCTACCTTTAATGTGAAAATGAATATTCACGTGGGATGGCTTTAGACTATTAGAAAATGCATATCAGGTAACAGATGTATAATTTATGGACCTGATTGCTTTAAGCAGAGAAGATTAAAAATGAGTTTTGCAACTCAGGTTGTTCTCATGAGGCAAACATATGCTAATTATTCAGAATTGAAACCTGACTGTGAAACATAAAACCAAAAGGAAAAGAAACTTAAAGAAACGTTTGAGAAGTAAACTGTCCCACCACTCAGAAAGATTTTCTTGTCTCTTTCTATGGGAAGAAATTAGGTGGTTTTATATATATATATATATATATATATATATATATTTTTTTTTTTGGCGGTACACGGGCCTCTCACTGTTGTGGTCTCTCCCATTGCAGATCACAGGCTCCGGATGTGCAGGCTCAGCGGCCATGGCCCACGGGCTCAGCCGCTCCACGACATATGCGATCTTCCCGGACCGGGGCACGAACCCGTGTCCCCTGCATCGGCAGGCGGACTCTCAACCACTGGGCCACCAGGGAAGCCCGGTTGTTTATATTCTTGAAAACTCCATTAGACAGTGAGAACTGAGCAGCTGAGATTCTCTTATGGGACTGTATGTAGACATTCCCCGGGTTCCGATTCAGGATTTCCAAGCTTTCTGGGGTGGATGGGTAAATAGATGTATCAGCTGGAGCTTAGAAGCATTCTCTGAGCCAGCCTCAAGATGTGAAGGAGACAGGGCTTATTTCATTTATGAAATTGAATCATTCGTAGACTCAAGGACAAAAGTCTAACAATGAAGATGACTAACATAAAATTATCACTGTCAGACTTACATTATATCTGGAAGAACTGGATTATAAAAGCCAAGTCACGTGTTGTCAAAGGCCTGAGGTTTGCAAGGAAATTCTCTCAAAAAGGCCCATGCAAAAAATGTCCTGAAGTAGAATCTGAGACCTGGTAGCACAAAAGTGCCTTGAATGTCCTTAACTGGCAGGGTGAAGACCAGGGGACAGAGGCAGTTTTAAAGTAGCCACAGCCCTTCAATCACATTCAGGAACTGGTGCTTCGAAAAAACAAACCACCAAAAAGAGTACAGATAAATGTCACAGCAAATCAAGTTAAAACATGGTAAGCCAAACTTTATACTCTTGTAAGAAAAAGGAGTCCCAAGGAGAGATACACTGGACTTTTCAAATGTTCTACAAACAAAGAGCAATGCATCCTTCACTAGCATCTTATTTCCTGATTTTTGTTTTATTTTGTTCTGTTTTGTTAGTATTCATTTTAATGTCTTCTTTGGAAGAGATAGATTTTTCTCCAATTTAAAAAGAAACAGGAATGACCATCTAGGGTAGAATGGATAACATACAGTAGAATCTTGCATGAATCTTAAAAATGTAATATTAAGAAAAACAAGTCACAGAAGAATATGTTTAATATGATTCCATCTGTACAAAGGTCAAAAATAGGTAAAATTAAATAATTTATTTATAGAGATCCATATGTAAGTGGTAAAACTATAAAGAATAGCAAGGAACAACTAATATAAAATGCAGAATTATTGTTTCTTGGAAGGGGGCAATAGAGAGAGGGAGATGTGATCAAGGAGGCATGGGGGGGTAAGGGGGGGTGTCCCAAATATGGACAATATTCTGTTATTACTTATGTTGATGGTGCATGCCTGAGTGTTAATTTTATTATTATTCTTTAAACTGACCATAAATGTTATCATATACTCTTATAAATGTATAATTTACAAATTTGACTTTTTTTAAAGAGATGGGTCAATTTTTATCATTTCATTTTGTTTCTTGAAATCCCAGCACTCCTATCTTCTGAAGGTAGCCTTCACCTAGAGAAATCTGTGAAGAAACTCAAGATGCAGCGTTTCCAGACTCGTAGACAATGCAGCCATAGAGCAAAAATAAACAAATAAATTAAAAATCAGGAAAAAAAAATCACTGGTTGGATGATTTTTAAAAGTCGGCCCCCATATATACTGCCTGCCATGGCCTGACACTCAAGGCCTTTTGCCAGTGGAACCCAGTCTTTCTAAAGAGTATTTCCTAGAACTTCCCTGTGAAGCTTCTTTCCTTGTGAAATATGATTCCCTGTGCAAGCCTTACATTTTCCACCCTTGTGCTTTGATGATCTCTTTCCAGTTACCTATATTTCCCACCCTCTTGATGATTGGCCATCACAGTTTGACCTCTTCTGGGAAACCACCATGATAACCTCATAACCTCGGTCTGAAGTGTTCTAGCCTTTTCCTAAACTCTTCAACAACTGCCTATTTAATTTTTCAAGCAGTTAATCTTGTGTGCCTTGTAACACTGGCATTTTCACCAACCAGACTTATTTTCCTCTTTGGCAAGGAGCTGGACTGTATTTCCTGCCCTCCTTTGCAGGTAGCTGTAGCCACGTGATTGAGTTCTGCCCAAAGGATTGCAGATACCAGGTGCGTAGTTCTTCTCCAGGCCCTGTTCTAACACCTCCCACAAAATCCTCCACACCCTCTTTCTTCTCATGAGTGGTTACTTACAGGAACCCGAAGAAGCACTTAAAGCTCTAGGGAATTGTAGGCTTACGTCAGGGGTCATCAAACTTCTTCTGTAAAGGGTCAGATAATAAATATTCTAGGGCTTTGAGGATATATAAGGTTCCTGTTGCTGCTGCTACTGCTTCTACAACCCTTTAAAAATGTAAAAGCTCTTCTTAGCTTCTAGAATTGGGCTGGGTTTGACTTGGGGGCTGTAGTTTGTCAGCCCCTTCACAGATAAAAAGGTCTTAGATTTCGGAATGCCTATGTAAAGCACAGCCCTCTCCCCCCTACTGCCCCCGCCTCCTGAGTCTGCAACTGACTTACTTGGATTATGATGGGAATGATAACTCTTACTGTGTTTCGCTTTCTCTGAACTATAGCTATGAGACTTTCTATCTCAAATGCAATAAAGAGATAACTATTTGGGGAACTTGAACAAAGTGGAGCTCCAATTTCAAGAAGTCGAGGTCCATTCACCCCCAAATAGTCTTCTTTACTAAAAATGTTGCTTATTCTGGAAGTATCTTGTTTTCTACGCTGCTTTGTCTAGTCCTTGCCTAGGGAACCATCGTGATCAAACAAATCTGCCTAGGCCAGAGCAGACTGCTTTAAAATCACAGCTTTAAAATCCAGCAGAAGAAGTTTCCAAGTTGGAGGAGGATCAAGAGGAGAATCTGGAAGAGTAAACAAAGAAAGAAGATGTGCGCTTCACCACATAAATTGAATCTGCAAAGCATATGGAAACCTCAGGTGTATCTGACTCATAATATTAATATTTTCTCTAAGATCTACAATCTCCCTCCTTCTCTTCTCCACTTTTCTGAAATAACCCACATCTGTGAAGTTTCTTCTTTTTTTATATTTCTCAGTCCCTACTGATGCACAGAACTCACTAGTATCGACAAGCCCAGGCAACCTTTGGTAGCAAGTCAGGGTGGCGTAATGAAATGTTTGGGGAAAAAACTCCCCACCGCAGTCTGGTTCACTCAAACAGCTTGCCAAGATGATGTGGTTCTCACGCAAAGAAAAAGTGCTCCTTCACCTGTACCAGCAAGTTGCTCCCCCTAAGACAGCAGACTGCATTTGTTTTGACACTGAGTGAGTCGCTCTTTTCTTTCATAGGCTGACACTTGTTCTGTCCCTTGAAGCTGCAAACTACCTCAAGGGCAAGTTTTTCTTTCTACATGTACTGTCTTCACTTACTTACTAATGTGCAAAACTTGAGAGGCACAAAAGGAACAGGAATACCAAGCAAAAAGCCAACAGACTCTGATACCTGTTCTTGTAATGCACTTCCATTACCAAAGGAAGACGGTCTCTTTTCGATTGTGATGTGAAAAGTAGACAAGTGATAGCTTCCTACATCTGGCTTAGTCAAAGGAAGTTCAAAGCCTTCTCTATATTCTGGATTCCCACCTTTCTATCTCTGAAATTATATTTATAGAGACTATAGAGTAGATCTTAATTCTCAGCAACTACAAACAATGGACTCTGAATAGTTATTTATATGTGAGCTTTGAATCTACCAGCCTCCGTTCATTATTTGATGAGCTAGTATTAATAAAATATTCATAGCTCATGTGTTAACTCTTCCAGGGAACCAGCATTTCACTCAGACCTCTGAAAATCATCATTGTGTGCTTTAAGAAGCAACAGAAAACCCAACTGAATAAGAACTGACCTCCTTTCTGGCTGCCCTGGTAGATCACGCTTAGTAGCTGCAGTCTTCATGGTGCCTGTCCCCTGGGCCAGGACACCAGATGCCCCATGACTAAGTCTAACGCATCTAGGAACATAGATGGAGGTGGGGCAGGATGGGGAGAGAGATGACTGACTTTTGCATCCCATCAACGAATGAATGCTGGTCTAATTTGTTTAGACTAATCTAGAAGAACCCAAAGGGATAGAGCAGAATTAACCTTGTGTTGAATCTCCTAATGTCTTTCTTCTAATGCAATTATTTAAAATATAACTCAATAGAAAAGAGCAACTCTCCTATAAATTTCTTGAAATGTTTATTCATAGGAAGGGTGTTGCTAATTTGATTAATTTTTAAGGATTTGTTAGATACTTTTCCCCCCCGAAATGAATGAAAAGATGAGCAGTTTTAAATTTTGAGTATCTTAAGAGCAACATTGGCCCTAGTGAAATTTTGTTTGAGAAAATTCATAGGAAGTTACTGTGAAGCAACCATATTCTTAGAAAGCTTCTATCCAAGACTCAGTTGGGTCAATTCTGAGGTTATTCTGGGAGTTGGATACATTTGTTCTCTCTCCGAATCACAGTTTCTGACGTGTTATTTTACAAGTTCTTGGTCTTTTTCTAAAAACTGACAGGCTTTTGGAAAAGTTAATAATTCAGTGAGTAAAATATGCTTATGTCTGCAAACAACAGAGATGAAACAATGTGCCCCACTTTTACTGTGAATCTTCCTAACGGTATTAAAAATGCAAACCCAAATCTGAAATAGAAAATGTGCAAAAGACTTTAGCCTTTAAATCTTCTCTGCAGGTTTTCCTTATCATACAATGTTTTCAATTTTCCTTGAGGTGAAACAATTTAGAGCCCAGCTTTAGACCACTCTATTCTATGCTGCAGAATTTAAAAAGGTTCTTAGAAAAATGTGGCTTCTATGAAAAATAGCTGTATTACACCAAAATGACTATTTCTACATTTTTTCAAACTAATGGAAAGATAAATTTGAGGATGATTCTCTTATAAGTGATACTAATGTCTTTTATGAATGCATCAGTGCAAATCAGATTTGACATCTTGTAAGGAGATATGAGTAGGACTTACCAGGTTTTGCAATGATATTTCAGTTATATCTGGGATGTAGCTGTCAAACAATAAGAATAGCCTCCTAGTCCATAAAACAATATGCCATCTTCAGACTAAAGATGAATACTGTATTTTAGAACACAAAAAGTTCCATTTCTTGGGTTGCTATTCCACCTGTCCATAACTTCACAGAAAATTACCTATTAGAAGCTCAAACTCAAGTAAATAATTTGTGAAGTAATACATAAATTCATGGAAAGAAAGGAAATCCTTTCTGCTGGCAGACTTTTCTGTGAGCAGTGCAAGAAGGACTAGCTCTTCTCCCCTGGAACCCTTGGTTTCCTTTGCCTGGAACCCTCTTTCTCCATCTTTGCATGGCTACCTCTGTCTTGCCTTGGGATCTCAGCTTAAAGGTCACCCTACAACGATCTTTCTGATCACCCAGTCTAAGTAGGTGCCTATTATATAATTGTCCATGTAGCCCTTATAACTAACTGATATTCTTGGGTTTTGTTTAATGTCCATTTCCTTGCACTTGGAGAGCATGAACTTTGTGATATTCATGCTGTAATCCTAGCATCTAGAACACCTGCGAAGGCAAGTGTTATGGGTTGAACTGTACCCCCAGGGCCCCCAAAATATGTGTTGACATCCTAAACCCCAACACCTCAGAATGACCTTATCTGGAATACAGTTGTTGCAGATGTAATTAGTTAAGATGAGGTCATGTGAAGTAGGGTGGGCACTTAGTCCAAAAAGACTCTCTTCTGAGAAAAGGGAAAGGCATACAGACAGAGAACACTACGTGAAGACACAGAAACATGGAGAAGATGGTGATGTAAAGACAGAGGCAGAGATTGGAGTTATACTGTACAAGCCAAGGGACACCTGGGGCTACTAAAAGCCGGAAGAGGCGAGGAAAGGTCCTTCTTTAAAGCCTTCGGAAAGAGCATGGCCCTTCCAACACCTCAATTCCCTTTTCAAATGCTGACGGCTCTCATTCCACCCCCTCACACGATGGCCAGATACATGCCTTAAAAATGATACTAAAGAAAAATGGGATTTTAGCAATAAAGACTTGTTGTATAGCAAATGGGCTGAAACATATTCTATTGCAGTTTTCTGGTTCAGCTTGAAATAATATTGCTATAATTTCATCAGAAGTACTTATAGGAGGAAAGATTTTTACCATAACTTTGTACTAATGTTACTGTAAATTTGCATGTTTCAGCTAGCATTATTTAATAATTTTAAAATGCATTATGTATATATTTTCTTTTTTGCAGCAATAAGAGCATGCCTTTGGGACAATGGGTGGAATCAGAGTTGAACTGAAGCCAACTCCAGTTTTTTAAGGAAAAATTTTCATGACACTTCCAGGTGGGCAGATTCAAAAACAGCATGAATCAGTGTCAAAATGATAAAGGAAATATTCTGGGTTATTAATTCCCAAAGTCTGCATGACCAAAATAGTAATAGCTCAGGAACACAAATTCAACATGTACTCATTGTTAAAACTGATGTTTAGTGATTCCTTTTTTAAAAATCTGAAATCACTTGAAAACCAATCATACGTGTGTGTGTGTATATATATATATAGAGAGAGAGATAGATATAGGTAGATACACACACACACACACACACACGTGTGTGTGTGTGTTTGAAATCACTAGCATTTGGGAACTGAAAAAGTTTATGATGAAATCCTTAGAAAGGCTACTATAGCCAGTGACTCCATTTATATCAAGTATATCTTCCTAAATCAGTGGGAAGTGTGTTCACTTATTCCTCAGTGCCATAAGAGCAATTTCTTTAGCAGGCATATTATCCTATAATTGCAGTTTTCTCTCTGTCTCATCTGGACACAATACATAGAATTAAGTAAAAAGAAGCAAAGGGATGTACTGAAAACAAAGATCAGACTTTGTTGGGGGTCATGTGCAGGGTCTGAGAGCATTTCCTGTCTCATAGGAAGCATTCACATCATGACTTGTCATCTATACTGTCTAGCCCACTGTCTCCTAATTTCCTGGAATAAAACCAAACTAAGCAAAACAATAAAAATGACAATTTTTCTATGTTTTGGAATTCCAAACTCTTATTACTGGAATGCTAAATCTTTCAACCCTAGTGGCTATTGTGCCGTCCAAAATTAACAGTGGTTTTTAATGGTTTGTTTTTTAAAATGTTATGCTTCTATGTATATCCCATAAATTATAACAACTTATTATAAATATTACTCTAAAATTCTGCAAAATGTTGGTTTAGTACTCAAATCAACCTTTTTACTTCCGCAAATGGTTTGAACAAAACTCATTCTCCCTTAAATACTAATTGGGTTTTAGATGTAGGCAAATGACCGGAAAGTGAGTAATAGGAAAACAATCCTTAGTTTTGTCTGTGAATTTGCCATTCTTCCCCTCTACATGTTCTTGCTGGTCTAATGGTTTCCAAATCTGGTCCATATTTTATCTTTTTCTTATAAAAGAAACCATCCCATATGGAAACAGGGTTATATTTTATCAGTACCATCACCACCAACTACATCACCATCACCACTTTTCAATTTGCAGAAAATTCAGCGTTATCTGCCAAGTTGGCAAGATGTCAAAAGTGCATAGATTGTTTTAATGAGAATAATTTCTTCCATTGTAGATGAATTTTAGGGACCCGTGTCAGGTGTGGGAGAGCTTCTGTGTCATAAGCTTTCACATCGCACAAATTAGTAGGATGGTCCAGGTACAGAGGCTTGAAGAAATCAACAAAAAACTCTGCTTTTCAAACCAAGTTGAGAGTTAATTTTAGGATACCCTTGGGAATGTGCAACCATGAGTGAGGTGTCCCTGGAGTAAAGGGTCAAACAGGAGCTGCAGGATGGGTTGAGGTGAGTGTGGGTCAGTACGTGTGTGGTAGAGGTTTGGCTAGTACACAATTTAATATCTATTTTTAAAAGAAACTCAGATTATGGAGGCAAAATTTTCATAAAATTTTAGGACAAAAATGTTCTGTCCTATTTTCTGTTTGGAGCAAACATTCGTAGAGAGTACAAATTCATTTAGCTTAAGGAGAAGCATTTCAGGTTTATCCAATCCAGTGTTGTTATTATATTGGTAAGGAAATAAAAGTGACTTACCAAGCCACTAGAAGCTAGATTTTCTGACTGTTAAGCCTCAGCTCTGATTCATAGCTCTCTGAGGAAAAAGGAAATGCAGAATTAACATCTATTGAATATCATACATGGGCCGGACACAGTGAAAGCTGCCAGGCACTGTCTTCTTCCCAAGCAGAGGTTAAGGGCTAGGCTCCCAGTTAGATTTCTTCAGCAGGAAATTGGTTCCATCTCTTACTATCTGTGTGACCTTAGACAGGTCACTTAAGTTCTCTGATTCCTAGTTTCTTCATGTATAAAATGTGGTTCATGAATGAACCTTCCTTACTGACAAGGATTAAGTGAGATAATCCTTAAGCCTTCATAGTGTTTGACACGTAAATGTTGGCTCAATGAATATTGAATACAAAAAGAGGAAAAGAAACTTGGCAGGTCATAGGGGTGCGGGGGATGAAGTAAGTGGGAGGAGATTTTATGCCTATTTTTACAAATGAGAAAAATTAGAGTTGGGTAAAATTCAGTAATTTGCCAACAAATTGCAAAACCAGAATGTGAAGTTTTGTCTGTTTCAACCCAAACTTCAGGTTGTGTCCGCTATACCACAATGCCTTATAGAAAGGTTAAGAGGCTCAGGGAACTAGAAAGAATGCTGGGATCATCCGCTTGGAGAGCCGGCTACTGCACTCATGCTGAGCTCTGAAAGCCTCCTGGCAGCTTCCCAGTAACTCTAGAAATCTACGAAGCTCTGAACTGGGTGCTGCCCAAGTGGCAGAAGCCAATGAGAATATTCAGGTGATAGTGCACATATGACTCTAGGTTAAAGTCTGGAATGTAAAGTTGGCTTCCTTTAGCTAATTACCAGTCCATTCTCAAGGGCAGGTGCTGTGTGTGCTCTCTTTCTGCACAGCTGACTTACTCCACGCCCAGAACTCTAAGAACTTGCTCTGTAAGACCTTGCTCTGTAAGAAATTGCTCTGTGTCAGCTCTGCCAATACTGTGACCTTGGGGAGGTCACTTAAGTCTTCAAGGCTGGTTTAGGACAAACGCTCAGGCCACACCTCCAACCAACTAATGCAGATTCTTACAGAATGAGACCCTGAAATATGTAATTTTTATGTAAACTTTTCACTGAAGTCAAGCTTACATCAGAAAAAAGAAAAAAAGTACAAAGCCTGTAAGTGTACAGTTCCACTAATTTTCACAAAGTGAATACAGTCTCAAATCAAGTAATAGATCAAACCAGACCAGAAGACACCCTTCTAGGCCCCCTATTAGTCACTCTTTCCCAAGATACCCACTATATATTCTTACTTCTAACA